TTAGAAGGAAACGGGAACTCAATCCCAAACAGGAATAACAGGATAGACCTCTACTCCTGTTCAAAAAATGAGGAGGCGCGTGAATTGGGCGAAAAACTGTATTTGCTTTAGCTAGTGACGCAATTCTAGGTTCCTGTGTTTGCTTCGTTGTTCTTGTACATTTACACATATCATTCACTAACTTCCTTATTTTGAGGCTGGCAGTAGAAAACACGCCGACTGTATCCCGGTGTTAAGTATTCTCTTTCAAGGAAGTACATCTAATTAACTGCAACAGTGAGTAAAACGCATTTCATTCTTCCCAGCTCGACCCACACCATCATTCCAACCGAACATAACCCCTTCCTATTAACCTTACCCATTGAAGGTGTCAAAGTCTTTAGAATATTTTACTCTTGCAATTACAGGTGTTGGAAGACGGAGAAATCGATGCAAAACAATTTAGCAGAAATTACCAGTGGCAATAAAACTGTTAACGTCTTATTTAATATATATCAGTTTCCTCCTTATGTCTTGCTCCTATCACCCTGTATCTGCTGTGTGAGGTTACCCCAAACCGATCTTTCCAAAAACCTACCCCCATACTCACTCTCAAGAGACCGATGACTTCTATGCGTTTATCTGTTTCTCGTTTTAGATATTTATGCATGTCACACGGTTTATACGAGTGATGGCTGAAAAGCAAGATACATTACTTTCCTAATCCAACATGTTAGTAGTAAATACATGTAAATAAAATATTGTCTAAACTTTAGCTGGAAAACCACTTTCGTTTTTCTCGATAGTAGACTTTAAAATTGATACATAACGGTATCAAGTTCAGCGTAAAGTTACCCCAAATCAATTTTTCCAAAACTTATCCTCATGCCCAATTTAATGGGACCAGTAATTTATCTCCTGGAATATTTGTTTCTCGTTTTAGATATTTATTAATATCATATAGTTTACATGATTGATTCGTTTTTACGGCTTATCAAGTTATTTAAAGCCAGAAAATAATTTTAGATTGAAAGAATTATATTTTTGATAAAAAAATGATTTAATGAGACAATTTTTACAAATTAACACATAGCTGTGGGAAGCAGAGGTGGATTCATGCCTCTTCCAAGTGTATCTGCACGTTAGTGCTTATAATGAACCCTACAGGAATTGAAACTTATCTCTCCGAATAACTATTCCGAGATATTATCTGTTACACCACCCACACATCCCAGAGGGCTTATAAAATTTGTCACTTGCAAATTATAAACCAAGCCATTATAATTTACACCACCCGCACATTCAAACTTCTATCAACTGTGGTATTCACAACCGGTCACCCATCTAGGTAATGATGAAACTAGACGTTGCTTAACTTCGGTGATCATACGGAATTTATACGATGCATGTCCGAAAAGCAAGATACATAACTTTGCTAATCTAACATGTAAGGGTACGCATAAAACTTTAAAAAAAAATTTAAAGCCAAATTATTTCTTAACCAGCAACATGGTTGGGAAAATTATTATTGGTTTAGTTTATTTTACGGTATATCAACCCAATGGGTCATTTAATGCTGAAATTTAATTTTCTTGGAATCATTAGTAATTTCTTTAACAAATTTATTGCTGGTAATATTTTTTCAAAAAATATATTGTTGGTAATTTTTTTCCATAAATGTATTGCTGACATTTTTACTATAATTGTTTTTATACTTTCATAGTGATTTGACCCCAATTTGGGGGTTAACTATTTCCCCATACCTGGCACCCTAAAAGTTGCTATCAGCTCGGGTCAGGATGGAGCTGGGGACAACATCAATTAGGAGGTATTATTATTGGTAAGTGGTTACTTAATTCTCTATAAAATAATGTGTGTAAATAGGAAATATTTTCGCTCGGTTAATCATGTTTTTGTTATAACACCTTATTTGATATCCATATAGACATCCGATTTTATAATTAAGGAGATATGGATTTTTACTTGTGTTTTCAGAATGAGATTGTTAGGACAAATGACTGTTATATAACGTCGAATCTTATTTTCAATAATATTTTTGTCTTCTTCATAATTTTGATGCATCTGGTTACATTAAAGCTTACGGCCACATCACATAGAAAAACTGGTTTTCGTAAGATCACCGAAGTTAAGCAACCTCGAATCTGGTCAATAACAAGATGAGTGACCACACTAGTGCTGTAAGTTTGGATGTGCGGGGGTGCAATAGATAATGACCCGGAGAGTTCTAATTCCAGTTGTGTTCGCTATATTCACTTACGTGTAAATACCCTTGGGATAGGCATGGAACTACCTCTTCCCTCCACAGCTATGGGTCAATTAGTAAGCTAAAACCACTTTTATCTAAAGAAAATAAAAAAAAAATATATGTATAGAATATTTAGATTTCAGCATTAAATAACTCATGAATGTTTGATATACCGCTAAACAAAAGCAGCCAACCAAATAGCTACGATAAAATAATGTAATGGAGTTTTTATTTTATATATATCCTCACAGATATAAAATAGAAACATAATGAACCGTGAGAAATGTCGGAAAGATTATTTTATAGAGAACTCTAATTCTGTGTGGCGTGTCCTTTCACGGCGTTGGAGATCATGGCTCTCTACAATTTCCTGTCCTTTGTAGCTATTAATAATCTTTTTCTTTTTGTTATCTCTTCTAAACATTGTCCCGCCATCCATTTACAGAATCTCGTTAGGTAGGTTATTCGTTGACTTCCTCTATCCCTCTTGCCTTCTATCTGTCCTGTGGGTATCAACATTTCCAAGCCCTCATTCCTCATTATCTGCCCTTAGCAATAATTTCCCAAGCCATCTTGTTGATGAAGAAATAAAATTAGCTTTAAAGAAATTTAAAAAAATTAACATGAGCAAATGTCTTGATATAAGGAGAACGTACCAGTATACCAATAGAGAACCTGATGCAGATGCTGACTTTCTGTATACAAAGAACAAACTTCGGAATGGGATCAAACATATATTGGCAGAATGTAGGGTTTGCAATGAGCTCGCCACTATCACCAGCAATAGCTAACATATACATGGAATACGTCGAAGAGATGACATTAGAATCCACATTACCGAAACCAACTCTATGGATGAGATACGTAGATGACACCTTCATTCTCTGGCCGCACCAGGGATAGGTCCAGCTACTAATGGACCATGCGAACTCAATAAGATCATCGGTACAGTTCACAAACCAACAATTCCTGGATGTACTCATAACTCGAACAGAGTATGAGTTCAAACATCCGTATACCGCAAACCAACATTCACCAGACAATACCATAACTTAAACTCCCACTATCCATACAAGGTAAAGAAAGGGATCGTCCGCTGCTTACAACAAAAATCATAAGTGGTGACCCAGAGACATATGAACAAAAAATGTTCAGTATAAGCAATACAAAATAATGTAACTGATACCCCGGGTACATGATAGCAGCTCCGGTAAACTGGGATAGAAGGATGCAAGAGGAAAGCAATATTTATAAAACAGCCTAGATATGCCTATCCTATATGAAGCGATTATCGGAAAAATACAAAAGATATATGGCACCTATAACAACAGGACGACATTGAAAAGTGGTTCAACATTTCAAAGACACCTCTTCAGAGTATATGATTGAATAAATTACAAACATTATGTCTGGTTATTTTTATCATAACCCTTTCATATTCACGAACATTTTTCCGTATATTACAATTAAATAAGGCAAGTAGTATGCAGAAAATATTCGTGAATATGAAAGGATTATGATAAAAATAAGCAGACATAATATTTGTAATTTATTTAATCAGATATGCCTAAAAGAGAATTTGCTGTCTAAATACACACACACACACACACACACATATATATATATATATATATATATATATATATATATATATATATATATATATATATATTAAGATAAAAGGGAAACTCATCATCACCGACGCAGTTCGTACTCTTAGGGATTTAATCAGGACAAATGTAAGGATTTTATTTTGTGACAAGTATACATATACAAGATATTATTCGTTTTTCAAAATGTTTACTTTTTCGTCGGGTTAACAGAGAAGTCGTGCAAGAATATGAATATGAGGTGATGCAACTCGGTTCCAATCCAAAATAATTTAAATATTAATTTTTACATACACACACACACAAAAAGCGCACACACACACATATATATATATATACACACACATATATATACACACCTATATATATATATATATATATATATATATATATATATATATGTATATGACGAAAAATTTGGAAAAAACAAACAAAAATCCTTAAATGCAATTATGTTGTTTAAAATGAATGAAATGTCGACGTCTGACGTTTCGGTTTAATAAACCTTCTTCAGCACAATATTCATTAAAATACAATTCAGTTCAATTTGACAAAGACGATGGACATAAAAACAAGTCTTATCCAAAACAGATAACTGAAAATTTTTTAAAATGATCAGCTTTCCCTTTAGCATGGTCACGTTTTCGTCACATAAACAACATAATTGCATTTAAGGATTTTGTTTGTTTTTTCCAAATTTTTCTTCATTCTGTCGGATCTATATCCATTTACATTTGCTTACATATATATATATATATATATATATATATATATATATATATATATATATATATATATATATATATATATATATATCGGTATGTGTGTGTAAAATGTATATATACATAGATATATATGAATGTTAACCCTGCAGACTATTTATCCAATATAGGATTGTAGAATCTCAATACAACCGTTTGGGCTTCTGGTATCTCTAGCAAGTCATTTATTTACGTGGTGGTGTTGCTAACCCCACGCCCAAACGGACTTGGATTAGGACTTTTTTTTCCCTCCAAGACTGGTTACCAACCAGAGATAAGAAGTCTATTCTGCACTTCTATTAACACCGAATTACTAGGGCGATTCATAGATTCACACCTTCCCAATGGAATTCGTGCGAAACTAAATGCAACAATCTCCGTTAGGGTTTAAACCCGACGCGCTAATCTATCTATCTATCTATCTATCTATCTATCTATCTATCTATCTATCTCTTTCTTTTTCATTCTTTTTCTTTCTTTCTCTTTCTTTTTCTTTCTTTTTTAGACTGTCTCTTTCTTTTCATTTCTTCTTCACATTGCTTCTTACTTTTTCTTTTTTTCATACTATTTCTTTCTTTTTCACACTGTTTCCTTTTCTTTCTTTTTCACGCCGTTTCTTTCTTTCTTATTTTTCTTTCTTTCTATCTATCTATCTATCTATCTATCTATCTCTTTCTTTTTCATTCTTTTTCTTTCTTTCTCTTTCTTTTTCTTTTTTTAGACTTTTTCTTTCTTTTTATTCCTTCTTCACACTTTTTCTTCCTTTTTCTTTCTTTTTCATACTATTTCTTTCTTTTTCACACTGTTTCCTTTTCTTTCTTTTTCACGCCGTTTCTTTCTTTCTTCCTTTTCTATCTATCTATCTATCTCTTTCTTTTTCATTCTTTTTCTTTCTTTCTCTTTCTTTTACTTTTTCTTTTTTTAGACTGTTTCTTTCTTTTTATTCCTTCTTCGCACTGTTTCTTCCTTTTTCTTTCTTTTTCATACTATTTCTTTCTTTTTCACAATGTTTCTTTTTCTTTCTTTTTCACGCCGTTTCTTTTTTTCTATCTATCTATCTATCTATCTATCTATCTATCTATCTATCTATCTATCTATCTATCTATCTATCTATCTCTTTCTATCTTCGTATTTTCCATTTAGTATGTATATTAGAATTGTCAAAATTAAGTTCTTTCGAGATATTTTATATATGTTTTATTATAATACATTTATTATATATATATATATATATATATATTCAGAGAGACTTAACATATATATATATATATATATATATATATATATATATATATATATGTGTTTATAAAAGTGACACATACCTATATATACACATATACATATATATACATATATATATATATATATATATATATATATATATATATATATATATAATTATATGGAGTTTTTATCGTATTTACTAATTTATCTACGTTTTTTATTATGTCGCCTTGTCTATCGAAGTCTGTAAATTTTATTAGATTTTCTATTTTTCTTTCTTTCTTTTCGCTTGGAAATACTAATTCTACTCATTAAACATCAATTTACTGAAGCCCTTATATGCTCTGGAGAATATAAATAAATAAAAAAAAACAAAAAAACTCTACATAAGAAAAAAGAGCGATAAAAAGCTTGAATTGTCATTCAAATTCATTAGACACTATACAGATTCTGGTGTACATATTAAAATTTTTTGAAGGAAATTATAAAAATAGTTAATGTCACCAAAAGAAGAAAAAAAGAAATGTCTAATTCAGATATCAAGATTGGTAAAAACAGACAATTTTTTGACATTCAGTTTCACAAGAATGCTATTAATTGACCGTATAATGTAAAGTAGCACATTTATTTCAAGCAAATGACAGCAGAAATGTGTACAAGTCATGTTTGCTGATGTCTCTAACTCAAGTGTACTTTAAATATATATTTTCAAAGTGTAATATCGACAGAAAAAGAGGTGGAAAAAGAGACATTTTATGCTTATAAAGGAAAAAAAAACATTGTAAGAGATATCTCTCTATATCTCTGAGATGAGGTATTATGTACACTATTTACATTATTCGGACTATTGTCCTCATCTTTGTCGCCATATTTATTACAACGTTTCGGCCGTTGTGCGCTCCGGCCTTCTTCAGGTGGTTGGAATGTCGAACTGGACCCTTTATTTCCAGTGAGCGAAATAAAGGACACATGGCGACAAAGATGAGGACAATAGTATAATGTAAATATTGTAAAAGATCTTGGCTAAACTTAGAAATGGAGTTAGCAAATTGGTCTTAGTTACTAGTATTACATAATTTTGTAAATAAACCAAACAACATCGAACATACAAAAGATTTTAAGAGAAACAAGCAAGCAGGTTGAAAAACTAGGTGATAAGCATGACAGACATACTAAGACACACTACTCTGTTACTCCTCATCACGACTCTTCAGGAGTAGGCTAGGCCTTCACAAACACATCTCCGTCACCAGATGGGAGAAAGTAAATAAGGAGAGAGGATACCGACTATAATCAAGGATTATTTCGGTTTAATATCCAGGATTATTTCGGTTTAATATCCAGGATTATTTCGGTTTAATATCCAGATACAAAAACGTACTTGTCAAAAATGATTGAATTAAAAATAACTAGTACAGTCAATAATTAACTTCTCCCTACCAACGGGTAAATCGACTTGGGTGCCCTGACTTCAGAATACGCCGATTACACCTCTGCGGAGGGGTAAGTTACAAATGAGCCGTCCGGGGTAAAACGATAAACTACATCCAACAGCAAGGCCTCTGATCAGGAGGTTTTGAGGAACATGGAACCACCTCTTAATTGCTGGTGTTCCCAGGTCCACTCTGACACGGGGTTGTAGCACCTGTTAAGGGTCCAACTCTGGGCAAATAGTTAACCTCAAAACTGGGGATAAAACACTGAAAATGTAAAAATAGTGTTTAATGCAAGCAATACATTTTTGAAAAAAATATTTACACTATTTACATTTTTCATTATTTACATTGGAGAGGGGAATTAACATTAGATAACTGATAACTGACATCCATGAGACATGGCACGTAGAACTAGAACAGTCTCCCCAAGCGAGCCAAATAAATGGTTATGTTTGACATTCCAACCACCTGAAGCAGTCCGGAGCGTACAACGACCGAAACGTTGTGATAAATGTGGCAACAAAGATGAGGACAATAGTCCGAATAATGTAAATAGTGTACATAATACCTCATCTCAGAAATATAGACAGATACTAAAAAATATTTACCACCAATACATTTAAAAAAGTAAATAATAGTACCAGCAATGAAAATCTTGTCGGCATTCTTTCTTTCTATGTGCCGTGTCCTTTCAAGACGTAGGCGATCATGGCTCACTCACCTGTCCTTTGCAGCTCTCAACAAGTTCCCCCACTTTGCCAATTCTTCCAGACCACGTTCTGTCATCCACTTGCTTAAGGCCGCTAGGTATGTCATGCGTTGTTTTCATTTGTCTGGCTTTCCCTCTATTCGACCCGTGAGTATCAGATTCTGCAAGCCCTCTTTCCTCATTATGTGTCCCAGGAACTTCAGCTGTCTCTTCCTGATGTTAAGTAGAAGCCTCCTCCTTGTTTGCATCTTCTTTAAAACCTCATCGTTGCTCACACGCTCGGTCCATGATATCCTTATCATGCTTCTGTAGAACCACATCTCCGTCGTATCGAGTCTCTTCTTCATCTTTGAGGCAATCGTTCAACATTCGCTGCCGTAAAGGAAGACAGATGTCGCGTAACAGCTAAGCATTCTTTCCTTCGTCACTAAAGAAATCCTCCTGTCTCGCAATACTCTGCCCAGCTTTTGGAATGCGTCCTTGGCCATCTTAATATGTCTACGGATCTCAGTGTCGCATTTACCGTCCTCTGTCAGAACGCTTCTCAGATATCTAAACCTCTGCGTCTGCTTGATTCTAGTGTTTCTGACCTGCCAATCGAATTTTGGTCTCATCCTTTTACTGATGATCATGCATTCTGTTTTTTTGTAGTTTATGCTTAGTCCCTTTTTCACACTCTCCGTCACTACACTCTGTAGGAGATTTTGTAATTTCTTTTCCGTGTTGAGGTTGATATACCGTAAAACAAACCAAACCAACAGGTAACATTAAAAAAAATGCCACAAATTAATGTTATTTAAATTTCGACATTGATTTTTTGCAGCAGAAAATTGGATTACCGAATTACACTAATGTTTTATCCTGTATATTCTTTGAATTTATTGAATCGAGTCCTTTTAAAAATATTTTACCTAAATGCTCAACATTTTCCGATATATTCATCAGGCTTTATTAATATATCCCCATCAAAGAACAAAACAAAACAAAAACAACATTTCCCGGGATTTTAAATAAACAACAACAAAAATACAACTAATATTTGTTTATGAGACATAAAAAAAACAGTCCATTATTTTTTCTTCATTACTTGTTAAACCGAACTGCTAATGGACTAAAAGTAAATGTCCACTGAAAATCTACCAATAAAATGATCTTATATACTTCTGTTCACACCAAAACAATAAAGTAAAATCTGGAATAATCTTTCGGTATGCTCCGTCCTTCTTCAGGTGGTTGGAATGTCCAACCGAACCCTTTATTTCCAGTGAGCGAAATAAAGGACACATGACAGAGCGGATAAAGGCGTTGGTTCAATCCAGTGACAGGACGCAAAAAGTGTGAGTTCAATACTCGGTTAAGGCAGGGGAGAACTTGGAGAGGGGATTTAACAGAAGATAACTGACATCCATTAAACATGGTACGTGGAACTAGAACAGTCTACCTCAGTGAGCGAAATAAAGGGTTTAGTTCGACATTCCAACCACCTGAAGAAGGCCGGAGTGTACAACCGCCGAAACGTTGTAATAAGTATGGTGACAAAGATGAGGACAATAGTCCAAATAATGTAAATAATGTTGACACTTCTTGTTGAACCTGATTGCTAGTGAGGTAAAACTAAACGTCTATCGAAAATCCATCAAAAAAAATGATATTACATACCATTATTCACACCATAACAACAAAATAAATTCTGGAATAATTGTTGGCTCCTATTTAAATGCATGTATTCTATATAAGAATGTATGTGTATCCCTTAATATTTACACGATGTAGAGTAACACACTGAAAATAAACTTCTCCAATATTCTAATTATCTTTATTACTATAAAAGTCTGTGAACGTTGCTTGTGTGTTTACCAGAAGTCATATATAGAGAGTGGATGATAGAAAGATATGAATTTATCGTGTAGGAAGGCGGGGGAGAGAAGGAAGTGGAGAAAAAAAGCGCTCTCTCTTTGCACCCACCTCTCTTTCTTTCCACCTTCCTATGATTGCTTGCGTGTTTATTTATATTTCAGCTTTCTTTAAACAAACAATATTTGAAATATTTTTATTTCAACTTTCTTCAAACAGACAATTATTTAAATGTTGAAAGCCAATTCATTGTTTTATAATCTGAACATTCAGTGACTCAATGATCACAGGTAATATATATAAAAATACATGCTGTAAAAAAAAAAACGTATTTTTAAATAATATATATATATATATATTATTTAAAAATACGTTTTTTTTATACAGAATGTATTTTTATTTCAACTTTCTTCAAACAGAGAATTTTTTCATTTTCAATGTAACTGTAAATAAATGTATTTAAAAAAAATATCCTTACTTTCACAAACTCTTCATGAAACTAAATGTAAATAGTAACACAACAAGGTTGACCTAACGGGTCTTGCGTGGTTTACTTCATATATAATGCTAAGAGGAAAGCTCATTCAAATTATAAAACATAGAAAAAGATTTAATATAAATAATATTAATAAAACTAGAAGTTTAATAATACTTGCCAATTCAATCCCATTTGATGGTTGATTTGTCTTTTATTAAATATTTGTGGGTTATTTAAACCGAAAGAATACTTTGAGGTGTATGAATACTTCCTTTTTTACGAGTGGATATTGTTTTAACAACATTTTGAGAACAACAATGATTTTTCCTACTAACTAACCCATAGCTGGTCAGTCAATGATGAATACATTTGAAAATAATTTATCTCAATATAAAATCTGTGACAACTATATCTAAACTAATAAGGGATTTAATTAATAGAATGTACAATAATAAACTCCTAAAACATAAAGCGGAAATTTATTCTGTAGACTATAATAATAGAATGATATATATATATTTTTACTGAAACGTGCATCCATAATTCGACAAAGAGGATTTTTGAAAAAATAATAACGTTCAAGTATTGTTAATACTGCTTAAGTGTTGTTTTCATCTAGTTTAAAACCTGGTTCAGTAGGAATGAACAAGAATGAACAAAGGAACAAAATAACGCAATAATCAACATATTTAAGATATCTCCTATCTGTAACAATTATTGACACCTGAAGATGACAATAGGGTACTTGATCGAAATGTTGTCAGTAATACCATCTATTAGAATCAAATTGAAAAAAAAATAGACAAAATAGATTAAATAAGTAAATATAAAAGAAGTCAATTGTCAATAAATTAAGTGAAACTGATCTAAATTAGTGGCTCGATCCAATCAGGGAAATACTTATAGTATAAATCCCAACAAATACTAGCTGAAAAATATTCGGTTATTTATTATAACCCATTAATTTCGCCGCAGATGATCAGTTCTGTAAGGTCGGCGTCATCACATACACATGGGCTGTCATGTAGCGAGACGGGGTGACAACATTTTATTAAGAATTTGAAAGTGACGCTTTTCACTTATGACAAAAACAGGACGACATAATCACCGGGTGTTCGCAATGTCGGACTCGTTAATGTTCCTGACATTGTCGATTTGCACTGACAGAATATAGACATCATTTAGAACCCCCTACTGACGTCAGTTGCACCAGTGTTGGCAGCAGCCAATCAGAATGCCGTAGGGCATGGCGGGAAATCAGCATAATGACGCCTGACGAAAGAAAACATGTACCTACTGTGGCGCTGAAGAGCAGCAATCATACGAGGGCTGATATGAAGTTTGAATTGGCTGAAAGAAGAAGAAGAAGAAGAAGAAGAAGGAAAAGATTTATTATTATTATTATTGTGATTAGAAGAAGAAGAAGAAAAGGAAGCAGCAGAAGAAGAAGAAAAAGAAGTAGGAGCCGGAGAAGAAGAAGAAAGAAAGAAAAAAGAAAGAATTAAAAAAGAAAGCGGAAAAGATGAAGTATTAATAAAAGAAAAAGAAGAAAAAGGAGAAAGAAAAGCAGGAAATGAAGTAGCATTAGTACTAGCAGAAGGAGAAGAAGAAAAAAAGGAAGTAAAAGAAAAATAGACGTAGGAACAGAAGTAGCAGTAGTAGTAGTAGAATTAGAAAGAGACAATGAAGAAGAAGAAGATGAAGAAAAAGAAGTAAAAAGAGACAAGCAGAAAAAAGAAGTAGTAGTAAAAAAAGAAAAAGGAAAAGAAGAAGAAGAAGAAGAAGAAGAAACAGGGAAAGAAGTAGTTTTGTTACTAGTAGATGAAAAATGGTAAAAGAAAAGGGAAGCACGAAAAGAATTAGTACTATAAGAAGAAGAAAGACAAAGAGAAAAAGAAGGCAATGAGAAGCGCGAAAAGAAATAGAAAAATAGGGAAAATAAAAATAGAAGCAGGAAATAATGAAGAGTAGTAATAAAAGAAGAAGAAGATGAGGAGGAGGAGAAGGAGGGAGAGAGGGAGTAGGAGAAGGAGACGGAGAAGGAGGACAAGAAGAAGGAGTAAGAGGAGAAGAAGCAGAAGAAGTAAAAAGAGAAGAAAGAGAAGAGAAACGATGTTGAATTGTTTGTTTGAGAATTCAGTGTTAAGTTCATAAATCTGACTTTTTACCTATAAAATAAATCCTGGTTTCGAATATCCCTAAGGGAAATCAAGAATTGGAAACCGGCTTCTTTGACGTATGTGCGTCGTCTGAAGAAAGTTAATACCTGTAGAACCATCTTAAAATCGAAGCCTGTAATGAAAAGAAATTTTTATGAGCATCTTGTGCACTGCGGCATCTCCTTAGAACACGATTAAGATTTAAAGGCACTCATGCATAATTAAATATTTACGAGCCATTCGTGTTTCTTTTGGTCGTTTCAGTCGCAATTCTTTGTCGTTTCTGTTGCCATTCTTTTCTTTTTTTTATAAACAGTGAAAGATAACATTCGAGCGAATACTATTTTTACAGATCGGAGTGAAAACGAACGACCTTATCGCTTAATTCGACACGTTCCAAGTCATTAAGAATTTTATCATTTTAAAGGGTCTCAAAAAGAAAAATACATTCGATCAACCATGATTATAATGATTTATACATATAGGGAGATTGAAAATAGTTTGAAGCTGTAAATTGGCCCGGCTACTAAGATATTTCTAGAAAATTAACCCGATGGTGATATGAATCTTTCATCTTTGCTCTTTCCCTGAATAATGTTTAAAAAAAAATGAGTTAAGCCAACTTTCGTTCAAATAAAGATTTGACGAAATCATCCCGAAATAATTTGTTTGAAATGCGGTCTTAATACGCAAATCAACACAAATTTATTTATACTTGTTTTTATTTAGGGGAGCTGCAATATTTTACAGAGGATGAATGAGACTTCTGAGTTGAAGTCATTTACGCTGTCTCTTCGAGAAACCTTAATAACATTAAGCAAGAAGGAAATTGAGAAAGAAAGAGAGCCGGAAAAGATATATGAAGGAGGGAGACAGGAAGTAAGAAAGACAAAAGGAAAGCCAACCGAAAGTAAAAATGAACGAACACAACACACACACACATATATATATATATATAAATATATATATATATATATATATATATATATATATATATATATATATATATATAAAGAAATAATCATACATAGAATCAATCAGCAATATTAATGCGATTAATGGCGAAATCACTTCGCTAGTAGAAACATAATGTATGCATTAAAAAAACTGTTAATCCTTTGAATGATGTGATCCTCATCCATAAAACTGTTGTCAGATGTTTCTAGTGCATATTTTTTAAAGTTAAGCAAGTACTTTCGAAGATCCATGTCTTCATCATCAGGCTGTAATTTTTTTTTTCCTTTAAAGTTAAAACTCGAAGACGAAATAATTGTTTGTAGATCAAAGATGTTTTTTTTAAGAATGTGCTATTTATTGACGGTTGTACAATCCCGGAACGTGCGAGTCGCAACGCTAAAGTTCAAAATTTCAAGTAGGAATTTTTATATGAATTTTGTAATATGGTAAATCCACGAATTCTTTTTTTTACATGTGTTTTTCAGTTAACATGACATGAACTAAGTATATAGTTCAATTAATATAGTGATATGTCTTAGTAGTTTTTTCTCAGGTATATATATATATATATATATATATATATATATATATATATATATATATATATATATATATCATAAAGGAAGTAATATATACAAAGAATTAATTAGCAATGTTAATGAGATTAATAGCGAAATCACCTCGCTAACAAGACTTAATGCGACATTAACTTACTATCAATTCATTGAATAATACGATCCTTATATTTGAGTTGTTGTATACTTCAGTTGTCAGCTGAAATTGATTAACCAAGTACTATGGATATCTTCATATTGTCATGTTTGGGGCGCAATTTTTCCATATACAAGCAAAAACACTAAGGCGAAAAATGTGTATTGTAGACCGAAAGATTTTATTTCAAATATGCTATTTATTCACAGTTATAATATTTTGGAGCAATTTCCATCTTAATCTCATTAAATTTGCATAAATTACTTCTTTATGATATAATATATGAGCTGCACACTCTAATATATATATATATATATATATATATATATATATATATATATATATATGTGTGTGTGTGTGTGTGTGTATAAAACGGAAGACTCTACTATATATATATATATATATATATATATATATATATATATATAAGCTGCACACTCGAATATATCTATATATATAAACTGCACACTCTAAAATATATATATATATATATATATATAAGCTGCACACTCTAATATATATATGCACACTATATATATATATATATATATATATATATATATATATAAAACTGTACACTCTAATATATATATATATATATATATATATATATATATATTATTATTTTTAAAAATATGATTCCTTCAAGAGCCAAAAACTTCAATATAATTATTGAAATTAAATTGAATTAAAGTATCAAGACCTGTTTCATCCTCAAGTGAAAATTTTGGCACTTGTTTTTGAAACATGAGGACTTTTATGTAGCGAAGGAATCATATTTTTTTAAAAATAATTATAATTTAAGCTCTACTTCTGTAGGGAGCTCTGTTTTTTTTAATTTTTTTTTTTTAATAAAAACAAAAATACTAAAGAACCCCGGATCATTTACCTAACGTGTTCTTTCCTATTTTTCTACATTTTTGCACACACACACACACACACACACACACACACACATATATATATATGTATATATATGCGATTAAATAAATTAGATGTTCACTTATCTTGTCTCCACTTTGAGTTTCGCGGAGATGACATCCTCTCAATTCGGAGAAAATGTCGAGTACGCAGGCCGGTAGAGGAAATAAATACGATGTCAAATAAACGGAGTGTTTAGAGTAATACGCTTATTCATTTTTTGAATGTGTCCACCAGTCAATGATCTGACGGTTGCATACATGTAGGGGCAACCGGAGAACATTTTGAATATGAGTTTCTGCGTTAAGGTAGAACGGTGGCCTTTTGGATATATGTTTTTATGGACATTTTGTCTTGTTTTGGTGTCAGGAAACCGTCCCCAAATTTTGTAAAAGAATTTTGGATTGTATCTTGCAGCCACTCTCTCCAGCGGTGTTCCGCAACTCCACATCGCCATCTGAATTGAGCCTGAGACTCTGTTCAAAGTTGTGAAGCGGCATGATATTACCCTCACTAGAGACACACCCCAAAGCTATCACAGTTTGAGGAAACTTGGTCTCCCTGCTACGAGGGACGTCATATAGATTGTAGGGAAACAATCTGTTGTACTGAGTGTATGCAGCTTGTCCTGACAAAAAAAGAGAAGAACCAGATTGTCTCCGGTTAAAACAGGATTTTTTCAACTTTTTTTGCCTTTGTCAGGCGGCTTTCTCGATACTTTTCTATAAAAAGTTGACCTTTACACCTCTTGTATGAATGGGAGTGGAGATTCTCATTCAAGGTGAGCTTCATGGTGGAAATTGCAACACCCATTTCCCGCGCTAAAGCCCGCATTCCAATGCCTGGTTTTTCCATCACTTTCAGTTGGATGAATTCTGATGTACGAAAGCAATTAGAATGCCTGCTCTGTTTTTTCCTACAAGCCATTGTCTCGTAGTCTCCGTTTCAGCTCTCCGTTTCACGTCTTATTGTTTTCACAGTGTTCAAAGAGCAGCTGTCATGATTGCAGCGTTTTGATGCTCGGCACGAATCATGATGATGCAAGTTTTCCAATATTAAAGTATCTTCCCTTGTCAATGTCAGTTAATTTTGACACCACTAAAGATGTAGCGATTAGGTTAGTTTGTTTGGTTTGGCTTGTATTACGGCATATCAGCCTCAATGGGTTATTTAATGCCGATAAGATTTTTACGTCTGGTAACATTTTCTTCAAAAAATGTATTTCTTGTAATATTTTTTCTTCAGAATTGTATTGCAGTAATAATGAATTACTGGTAATAATTTTTTCTTCAAAAATTCATTGCTGGTAATAATGCCCCCCACCAAAAAAAAAAAAGATTTTCATTGCTGGTACTATTATTTTTTTTTTAAATGTATTGCTGGTAAATATTATTTTTCTTCAAAAATATATTGCTGGTAATAATTTTTTTCCAAAAATATATTGCTGGTATTAAAACCTATTTTTACACTTTCATGGTGATTTGACTCCAGGTTGGGGCTAACTATTTGCCATAGCTGGTAGCCTAACAGGTACTACCACCCCGCGGCAGAAAGAACCTGGGAACACCAGCAATTAAGAGGTGGTTCCAAGCTCTTCAAAACCAAATGATCGGAGGCTTGCTGTCGGATGTAGTTTATCGTCTTACCCAGGAAGCTAATTATTAGGTTTCACAATGCTGTTCAGTATTTACATATATTCCAAACCAATATGAAGAAAATAATAACATTAAACACAAATTTAGCATGAACACTCTGTAAATCTTAAAATTAACGAAAGCCCCATGGTAAGTATTTATTTATAAACTTTTTCCTCAACTTATTAGAATCGGGACTATGGAAACACAGTCTTTCAGTTTTTATTAAGGAATCTTTTTTGCTAAAATATACTTATTTGATTATTATTTAAAAGTATATATTTATAGGTAATATTTATTTCTTATTTACTGTATGAAGCTATTCACTGCTGCAAATTATGCACGTATCTTAACTTTAATAAATTAGCGAAACTATTCAATACTGCATGGTTGTCTTAAAATATTTTTATCGACCTTTCACTGTCCTAAAGTATACACTACTTGAAATCTATTCAGAAATCTTCATTTTTACAAAGATTGTAGCAACTAAGACTATTCCTTACATTAAAGATAACATTAGATATTTTAATTGCTATGTAATATCAGTCTTCCTATATGGCAGTGAATGCTGGATAAAATCTTCAAAGATGAAGAAAAGACTTGAAGCAGGAGAAATATGGTTGTACTGAAAGATACTGAAGATACCATAGACCGAACATGTCAACAACGTTTACGTGAGCCATAAGTAACACGGAAACAACTTTTCTAGAAGGCATACAGCTGATTGATATGTGACCAAAATTGGGTTCACGATTCAGAACCATAAACAGTATATATATAAAATATATATATATATATATATATATATATATATATATATATAAGTGGTTAATATACACATACATATATGTACATATATCTAAAACACAAATATATATATAAACAAACGTACATACACATACATATATACGTTTAAATAAAATTCCAACAGGATAGAATCCAAGTAGAACTCAATGTCAGGACAGAGTAAAGATATAATAAAAAGGCTTAAACACTAATATTCCATGGTCATAATTTATTACATTGGAATCGTATATATGATCCAATTCATCAAACCTACAAATTCAAAAAATTCATTTTTTTGAATTTGTAGGTCTGATGAATTGAATCCAATGTAATAAATTATGACCACGAAGTACTAGTGTTTAAGCCTTTTTTATATATATATATATATATTTATATATATATATATATATATATATATATATATATATGTGTGTGTGTGTGTGTGTGTGTGTGTGTGTTTTATTAAAATTAACGAAAGTCTCTTGGTTAGCATTTATTTATAAACCTTTTCCTCAACACATTAAAATCGGGGTTATGCAAACACTGTCTTTCGGTTTTTATTAAGGAATTTTATTTTGTTAACATATACTTATTTATTTTTTTAATTACTTATACTTAATACACGTTATGACACAACTTCATGTGACAACGTGTACCATGTTTTTAGTTGTTTGTTTTTATTTGTTTATTTTATTCTAAATTTATTACTATTTATTAAATGTATTTAACGGTTGCACTGAAATTTAATGTAATTTAATTTACGCTGTTTTTTTTAAAGTTTATTTTTTATGTCCATGTCGTTCTACAGAAGGATGCTGAGGATACCATAGACCGAATATGTGAACAACAACTAGATTTTAGCGAAAATAGAAACAAAAAGACACTTATGCTTAACATCAGGAAAATACAGCGGAAATTCTAGGGTGCCTAATGAGAAAAGAATGCTTGGGAAATTTTATACACACAAGACAGATTGAAGGTAAGAGATACAGGAAACAAGACATGATCTACGTAGCAGGCTTTAGAAAACGGATGACGGGACAAGGTTTCGAAGAAATAACAAAATGATACTGTACTGACATTTAATGTAATTTAATTTACGCTGTGGTTTTTTAAGTTTACAGACGTGCCGTCGCCTCTCTCTGTCTTTTTTACAAATACTTTCATGGTAATTGCTCCGATGAGCTGCTTTCACTAGTTCTCCGACTTCATGAATCCCGCTCTCACCCTTTCACTGTAGATACTTTTAAATGTAGCCGTCTCTTCTACTCCAATAGCTTCATATCTCGCACCTCTCGCCTGTGGAACACTCTTCCCTATTACTGTTTTCCTGAGAGCTTTAATCTCCAACTATTCAAATGTAATGTCAATCGACATCTCCAGTTACCTTGATCTATCCACTATTCTTCTCCTCATCCTTTCTTCTATCACTCCTATCTGCTCTCGCTCCAAATCTTCTGCAACCACCTGCATCCTAGTGGCTTCACGCCTTTCTCGGGGCATAATGCTTAAAAAATGTCCATGTCGTCCTACAGAATGATGCTGAGGATGCCAAAGACCGAATAGGTGAGCAACGACTAAGTTTTAGAGAAGATGGAAACAAGAAGGAAACTTACTTAGCATCAACAAATAAGAGTTTAAAACTCTAGCTCACATAGTGAGGAAAGAGGGCTTGGAAAATATGATACTCACAGGACAGATTGAAGGCAAGGGTGACAGAGGAAAACAACACATTACTTCCCTAGCGAGCTTGAGTAAATCAAAGGCGTAACAAAGTTTAGGAGGGATAGCAAAATGACAAATTTATTATTATCTACAAAGGATAGGAAATTGTGGAGAGCAATGATCACCAACGCCCTGAAGGGACATGGCAAGAAGAAGAAGAAGAAGAAGAAGAAGAAGCAGCAGCAGCAGCAGCAGCAGCAGCAGCAGCTTGAGTAAATGGGTCGTGGAACAATTTTTAGGAGATATAACAAAATGACAAAATTTATTAAGAGCTACAATGAACAGGAAATTGTGGAGAGTCATGAGCGTTAACTTCCTGGAGGGGCACATCACGTAGAAGAAGTGTGTTTTTATTTCTTTGGTGTTTGCTTGTACGAGTTTATTCTCTTTTAACAATTATCAGTAATAGTTACCATCAAGGAAATGTTAAATATTAAATTCAATTTTATTTTGTCTATTTACATTCGGAATATTGCTCTTATCTTGATATCACAACTTTTCGATGTGTCCTGTGGCCTTCTTCAGATATTGATCTGGGTAACCTAGAGGGTATTCTGAACTGAACTCTTTATTTAATCTCCGAGGGTATATTGTTCTAATTTCATTGTTCGTGTCTGGGAATATCTCGTCTCGTTCTTATTTTTATTCAGTACTGTTCAGTTATCCCCCGCCCTTTTCCACTGAGTGCAAATAGCTACGAATCACAGAAATTTAGACAGAAATAAATCCAATTTTCGTTTCCGCCATTAACTGCTGAGTGGAGAATAACTATTTTTTGTGCAACGAAGAAGAAACAAATACTGGCAGTTGTCCTCCGTAATTTGATGCGAAGCTAATTTTCCTAACAATTGTTTTCTAAACCTTATACTCTTGTGTACCGAATACAAGAGCCAGCACATTTGAGTTATTTTTTCATTATTGAACCCAGCACGTTTGAATTATTTCTTTCGATATTGAACCCATCACGTTTGAATTATTTCTTTCAATATTGACCCCGGCAATGGTACTTATTCGGTACGCCACGTTTATTACTTTTCAAATAAATTTTTCCCGATACAGTTATTTTGTTTCACTACATTGAACTTATGTAAACTGCAATTTGAACTGGAACGCTTATTTTATTAGTTTAAAATTCCCACCGGCGTGATTATTCCTGATAGCCGTCTTGTGACACTTGTGGCACCTTGCATTATTAGAAATATTCATAGAAATATGATTTAATTTTTTCTTACTCGGTTTACTAAACAGGTTGTTGATTTTTTTTAAAACGGAAAATAATTGAGTTGAAAATAATTCACTAAGATTGTACTTAGACG